CATGCATAGGATACAAAAGCATAGCGGAGACGATTTTGAAGTAAAAGTCAATATCCTCGCACAAGAGTCCAAAACACCAGCGCGAAAACTCCTAGAGGCTTTTTGGATCAATGCCAAAAACCCTACAATTAACAGCAGGGACGAATGCCCGGAGGTCATACGCGACCTGATCCCGTACGTTCGCATCGATTTTTGATGTGGGATGGTGCAGTCGTCAACCACATGCGACTATAATCAGCTGTTCTAAACTTCCTCATTGGAAGTCACGAAAAAGCGGTGGGTTTTTCGAGAAGTTGTTGATCGTGTAATTACCGAAGAGTCTTTCGTCTTTTTGTAAGTGTTATTGAAGCGTTTGGCCTAGCAGATTGTATATCAGCATACCCTTCCAGGCTCTGAAGAAGGCGATACTGCCGAAACGTCAGCTAGCGTTGTATTGTATTGTGTTTTTATGGAAGTAAATGTATGCTGTTTAAAAACCTCGCGATTGCTGAACAAGAAAACGACACATTCATATTCCAATGCCGAGGTTGAGAGAAAGTCGATCTTGGGAACCATAATTCTTATTTTAATACGATAAGGAAAGAATTAACGATATTGATTAGTCTTTTTATTTCACATATTTTCTGTTATTGTTACGATAACTTCCGTTTACTCTTTTCTAGCGGTATATATATATATATGTATATATATATATAGTTTTGTTTATTGTTAAATTTCAATAAAATCAAATAAGTACGAAGTCTGGAAAATTTGGTGTTTGTAACTGAAATGGTTGCGGAGCATTTTCAGACGACGTTACCGAAAGGCGTTAAACAAAAAGTAAAAAAGGCGAAACCTGTTGGACCAAAACGGGGACATAACCTTTATATACCACCTAAGAAGCAGCATCTGATGCAAAAAGTACGCTGGGGACTTATTACATTCAATACTAATACTTCCTTTCTTCTTTGTCATAACTTAGGTTTTTTTCAGGACAAAGTAGCTGCAGAAGTATCCAAAATCATCAATGAGAAGAACGAGGAAATGGTAAAAAATCAGGCCAATGGTGCTGTTGGTCGAAGCAAAGTGAATTGAGTGTTGTTAATATTGTTTTAAGCATTACTTTTTAACAGTACTTTCAGTTATATTTGCATGATAAAGTGTTGCTTTTAATAATCGTTAATTTTCATTGGTCAATGATCTTTCGCAGTTAGAACTTTATTGTTTAACCCTTTCGCAACGATTCCTGATTTTATATGGCTGTATCTAATAGGACGATGGTCAATTTTTCGCTGTGTATGCCGCGAATTGAGGACAATTCATACGGGCTGCATTCACCGTATATGAGTCGAAATCAAGTCGTGTTGTCACAAGTCTTAAAAAGGTAGACTCAAAGGATCGCTGACGTAATTTACAGTCTTTATCTTACTGTTGTGTTGGTGTCTACTTTCGCAGTTTTTCATGACTAAATGTATTGTTGGGCATTTAGAGCTACTTGTTTTCTATTTTTTGTGGTTAGTAATATAATAGTAATGGTTGAAACTGTGATATTTATCACGTATATATTTGGGAAATATGGACTCGTGTGACACAGTGGTCGGGGGCGCTCTGCAGTACACATGGGATCGATCTACGCGCCTCTGGTGCACCAAGACGTCCAACTCTCCGGATTCGGGAAATTGGTACCAGACATCTTTGGGAGGATAGCAGCACTGGCTCTGCATTGGTAGGCCAGCGCGAGTGATTGTAAAGGGTCATACATGCATTCGGTCACCTCCAACGATGCTTTATGAGGTAGAATGTGCGGCGCATCTCTCAAAAATTGATCATCTCCGAGAGATCTATCCTTTTTATATTTGGGAAATATTTAAAGGGAGTGGTCGTATATAATCTTCTTTACGTCTTTTTTTTTGCTCGTCAAGAATACAGTGACGTATGTACTCGTTGCATTATTTTTTTCACATATTTGGTCATTTGTTTGGAAAAACCTATCATATTGCTACCGTGGATCGTTAGATTTAGCAACGATGAAACATTCCAGAGGTGAATTGGTTCAGCGCATACACAGTTTAACACGAAAGAAAAGATGTGGACCAATTATGCAGTTGAGGCTGTCTTTGAGAGTTGCGTGGGATAGATAGGCCATCCGCTAACACGTTCGCAACGATGGGTATTCTTCGAAAGCTGGTGTGCCGCTGCGTATAACAAGTGCTGGTTTTTCTCCGTGCACAATATGCATTTAATCCAGTGCATGGTCAAAGAATACCGTCGTGGAAAGTGCGTTGATCGTCATCGTGAACTACATTGGCAGCTCACCCTAGAACTATGGATTGCAACCGATCAATTTAAATGTAACAAATGTAGATTGAAATTTATTGTCTTCAAGCCCATCGGTTCTGTGCTGATGGCGAGAAGTTATGAAGGATTATCACAAGCTTGTGAAGGATGTGAGATAAACATTTGATAATTTGAGATGTGGTAATTTATAGTAGTACGGTTCATTTTATACTCATGCAGAACTGGTAGATGGCCACGAAAAAGAAGACATCTACAGGGCCGAAACGAGCATCAAGCAAGTGGACACTGGTGCGTCAACCAAACAATTTTTGTTCGGACATATCTACCTATTCTAAAATGTTTCCTTGGTAACCAATCCTCATTGAAGTATACCTGGCGGCAAGTAACGACTTCTCCTCTCACGTTTCGCTCCGTCAGCTGGGTAGGTGGTGGTCCACGTTGGTTATATTGTTATAGGGCGCCATTCAGCTTTAGATATATACACCTTGGTTCGTGGTAAACCTTAATATAAAATTAGAAAGATGAAGACGTGGAGCGGAAGCGGTGAAATAACCGACGATTGCTCTCAGTGGACTTCTATTTGGGTCCGTAGCTCGTTTCCTACCTTCCACTCATGCTTTCTTATCCGTTCTTAATTGAAAAAGATAGGAGGCGAAAGAAGTCAGCGATTGAAACATTTTCAAACATTTTGAAAGACATTGCCACGAAATGCATTGTCGGTAAACTTGTTTTGGAGCACCTGTATAGCATTGGATAAAGGTGACCTCCAATACATATAGGCTCATTGGTTCTTTCTCGCTCCCCGAGCGAGCCAAATGTTTCCAGTGTTAACAAGCTGCTACTAAACTTGTCTGGGAGAGTAAAGCACTTATTTAATACATGGACATCAGTAGCCCAAGCAACTATCGACATGTTATTAATTCATAGGAATGACGCGTCTCTAATGAACAACGAGAACTTCCGAAGGCTTTAGATCTAAGTGGAGCTTCTGTACTGTTCATTCTATAACAAGGTCTCCACGACAGCTCTTCAGCTTACTGCGTATCCGATATGCATCCAATGTTTCCACCTTTCTCTCGCATAGACAATCTTTCTACATCTTTATCTTTGGCATCAATCTTGGAAAATTTCGAGTTTTCATGTTCCAAAGTAGACAAACATATTGGATGGAGCTGTTAGGTGTGCTGAGCACAGACAACTCATTATTTCGCTTAATTCTTGCTTGACACGTCGCTCATATGTGTTAAGGACTCTGCACAAAATGTACCCCCATCATCAGGACACTGCTGTATGTAGGTGATGATCGTAGTCTTTTCGATTAAGCTGGCAAGGCAAGATGAAACAATCGCATAGAAGTCGGGGTAACAGGCAGTATATTTGCGTACAAGGAGTCCGAGCGCGGGGTCGAACTAGCGATTGATCCAGTGCGCACTGTAGAACGCCTCCGAACACTACGTTACACGCGCCCCTTCAAGAAATAAAACATGAAAACTGCGTCGTACTGTACATCAGAACTGGAACCCATTTATCGCGGTTCACCTGAGTTGTGCCGCAAACGTCGTGATTATGTGTGGTGGACCCGTCTTCACGTTTACTGTGCGGCTCCCAGCACTTCTCGCATTCGGTGTGTTTTCTCGCATCCATCATCCTCAACGAAGGTCTTCCAACTTTTTCTCTGTGGTTTCGGCTGCTGCTTGAGGATTTCTCTTTCGTCGTAAATGTCGTAGAATGCACATCGAATCAATTCTTCCTGTAGTCCTGAAATAGCCGTGTTAGAGCGTTTCCCCTTAGATTGCAGAAAGTGATTTTTTCCTGGACAGATCCGGTACCAATTTGCCGACCCGGGAAGGATGAGAGGCTTGGTGAGCCCGGTGCCGGATCGAACCGGCGCTGTGCTGGTGATGATCGGCATCACTACCACTGTGCTATCCACCCGTGATAAGTTGGAGGACTCTTTTATTTGTCACACGCAAAATGAAGACATTCTACGTGTTAAAGCGGTGCTGTTGGGGAGCTGAAAAATTGTTTTCAGGCTTTCAATGCAGAAGGGGAGAAACCGATGGATCTAATAGCACATTTCACGAAGCAAACGACGAAACAAAGGCAGTTAATGTTCGACCAGGTGACATCTTCGTCCAGAATCCAGTGCAAGTCGTTTTTGGAAAATCGGGTAAGTATTGCAACGTTCCATACATAATACATACTCTTTATCAAAGATGGTTTTGGTACATTAACATGACCAGTTAGGTTTGCTGGTCGCTGATCCACTGCTGCCGCAACGAACGCTAGTATCGCACTTCTTAGAAAGGTGCATGCCACCCACTATTCTTACGCTATGTACCTGGTTTTATGTTTCCTACAACTTTCAAGCTGCTCTGTTCACCACTTCAGTCTAAATCGCCATGATACTATGATAATTTGTGAGAAGCACTAGATTTATGGAATGAATCTAAAGATTTTGTTGAACCTATTCTTGTCTTCTAGTCACAAAATCGCCCTCCCGTGCCGTTACATGAAAAGAAGCGAGTGGTTTTGACTGTGGTTGGTTGCTGTTTGTAAAAGTCATTTTCTTAAAGTATTTAACTTTCTTTGCTGCCTGTTATTTCTTTTTTCACGGCAGGGTGTTATGAGAAATAAAACCATAATAACGATGAGATATTTTCAAGACTCGGAGCCTCAGCCCAGTTTCGAACTAGGGTTGCTTTTTCAGGGTGCTCACGTGTTACCCACTGCACCACCGAGACCATTAATTTTCCTGTCTCTTTTTTATCCTAACGATGTCATTACGATGTAACAAACAAATTTTATTTACCAGTTAAGAACTATGTATTGTTACGCCTTATCCAAAGTCACATATGAAAGTTGTCTGCTGGGATTTTGAGCACCTTAACAATTACTTAATGCAACAAGTACAAGCGTAAAAAGCCTGTCTTAAATGCAGTATAATTGGGTAATTAATGTTTTTCACATGAGTTATGCGGCTCCCAGAATTTCCTTCCTTTGAAAGGTGAATAATCACCATGTAAGGATTGAGGTGACCTGTAGTTTCGATATTGGCTTAAGGACTTCAGCCAATTAGTTGTAACAATGAATGCAGTTGTCTTACATATTCAATGGAGACGCTCTCCCATCTTCTTAGATATCTCCGTCATTTCCTTTCCTTTTTCTCCCAGGATCAATGCTGCTATCTTCCTAGACAAGTCTGGTGAGAATTGAGCAGTCCTAAGGAATAGAGGGCTTGGTAAGCACGAGGCTCTGCATCAAATCAACGATCACGTGTGTAACTCCCACGACCGACTTTCTATTAACCTCGGCATTGATCAAGTAATTCTTCGTATTTTTGTTGAGCAAACGCGAGGTGTTATTATTCTTTATTCACGAATGAGCTGACGTTTCGGCGGATTTCGCCTTCCTCAGAGCCGCTTTCTATGAGGTCTCCACTAAGTATGTCACGTAAAGACCAACCGCACAGAAATCACATGGAAGTATAATGTGCAATTATACTTCCATGTGATTTCTGTGCGGTTGGTCTTTACGTGACATACTTAGTGGAGACCTCATAGAAAGCGGCTCTGAG